AGTCAGATCCGTGGCCAGTGATCCAGAGGGTAGCATCATATGGAGAAGCAGGCTTCAGGAGTGAAGGAGAAAACAGTTCCTGACCATGAAGAAGGAGTTGGTAACAGATTCAGATTGGTACATGTCCTAAACATTCCTCCTTTGCAAGGACTGCAAAGGACTGCAACTTTCGCCACTGGTTTGGAAGATTTTCTGCCTCCGTTATAGTGGCACAGAGGGGATGAAAGAAGGGATGAAACACGTGACCCTACAGCCCTCTTGCAGCTCCAAATGCCACCATCGCAGGCAGTCTGGTGAACCACTTACTTATGGCTGAAACACCATCTGCTATGGACTGGCTTCTGCACTAGAGCCTTGGCACCTACTTGTTCCTCTACCAGCACTGACAAAATTGAGCTCTTGTTTTACCCACAAGACATTAACAAAGCAGAACACATAGGCAGTGACACCCCTGCTGTCCCCACCTGCTGGTTTCAGTTCCTTGAGCACATCATGCAAGTCGCTACCATTACTATCAAACCTTGCAGACATTCATATACAAATATGAATATATACATATATTCAAGCTTTATACTTTGCATCTGCACACAAATTCTACAGCCAAAACCTGCAGTTCTGTGCCTTTTCACACTGTTAAGCAAAACCTAAGCAACTGTCAGCTTTTAATTATGCATGGTTAAGATTCCTACACTTTTTTTAAAGAATTGAAAAATACCATTTAGAAGTATGTTTGGTCAAGTTCATCACTGCATGTGGTACAGTCAAACCTGGTTAAGTGGTACTCATCAACTGTGTTGTGATGGAATGTCTAATGGCAGATTTCTTCAAATGAAAAATCCAGACAATTGAGAGGTATGCATAAAACTTGTCTTAAATATCTGAAGCTACATGTGCGATCTTACAGAACACAAGCTACAGTTACAGACATAACATTAAATCTTATCAACCAATAGTGCATAAGAACTTAAAAAGAGTCAAGTGAAATCAGTTCAGCTAGTGACTTCCAAAAAAGTCACTCAACCGCATTGTGAGGGGAAAAAAAAAAGCGGGGGGGGGAATCATTCTTAAGCAGGTTTAACACAAAGTTTTAATCTACATTTTAAAAGCTGTTTTATTATATATATATATACTATGTATAAAATAAATTAAAAAGGGGGAGGAGGAAATAGCTTTGTATATGCTTCAAATGAACATAGACCAGTAGTTCCATAAATGAACATTTTACCATCTTTGTGGTAAAAACTTGACATAAAAGTTCAAAACCATACAATACTTATAAATAGAAAGAGTTCAAAAGATACTTTTTTTAAAAAATGGAATTTAAACATCATTTTCCCTTCCCCTACAATACACTTTAGTTTTGTATGTCAGCATCAATACATTTACAGAGCATTTGAATGTCACATCCACAGAATCAATAACAAAGCAGGTAAGAGGGCTAGCAGTGTTAAAATTTAGGACTTTTCTCCCAAATAACTCTACCTGCTCCTCAGCCTTCTCCTGAAATGAAGGCTATCAACATTCATCACCCGGTATGAGGTATGGGCAGAAGAAAATCTGCAACCGGTACTTTCCAACCCGCCTTGCCTCTAAAAATATAGCTACAATATAGCAACAATCTGTTGATTTGGAAATTGACAACGGTGGTGGACAATCTCTTACCTCCAATCAGCTTGTATATAATTTAATCCTGGTATTTAAAAAAAAAATTAAAACTGAAACATAGTACTAATGCTTAGCTTAAATAAAAAAACAACCAAAAAACCAACCAAAAACCCCAACTTTAAATCTTCTTTGAAACCATGTTTAAATGTTCTTGTTCCTGATTTAAAGCTTCACATAAAACACCAGACAAAGGATGACAATTTTAAACCAAGAGAGCATCTAAAAACATACCATAGGTAAAAATGAAATAATCTCTCCACTTCATAAAAACATATAAACCCTGTCAGTAACAGTAGTACACTCAGAACGAACAACGTGAAAAGGAGCATCTAGAATACTCAAGAGGCTTGCTACGCTACTTCTCTTTATTGCCCATTCTCTCATTTGTATGGATGGCCACTGCATGACAAGATGCCTGTGATAGTTCTCTTATCTTCCTTTCACCACTGCTGCCAGCTGAAGTCGTCATTGCTGCCAAAGACCAAGAAAAATCCTAGGATTGTGGCAAAGATGACTGTATTCCCCGTAAGAACAAGTGCGCATGCGCCCCAGTAAATCTGTGAACAAGGGGAATTTAGTTAGACACATTTTGAACTGAATACTGACAAGACAAAAGGCAACATCTTACTGTCCCATTCTAGACAAAGTTCAGTAACATGCCCATGATGCAATAAGGTTATATCGTTATTTGTGGTTACACCGAGATGGCTGGGTTTACCTAAAATTACTTGATCAATTCACAGCCAGCCAAGCAGCACAAGTTTTTTCTATCCATACTCAAAGTGTTGGCTAGCAGGCACAGCTGTTTTGGTGTATAAAGTAGGGCTAGGTTACAGCATCAAACACATCTGCGGCCCAGTTATATTGCCAACCACTCGGTAAGACTTTTTTAATCAGACATTTATTTAAGGTCTTCAAAACACCAGCAGATATGCCAGCAACAAAAAAGGAGGTGGATGTTTTCCAGGGAGAGTGAGGGTGTGAGGCACTCAAACTGACCGTCTGAGCTGTATTATTCTGTTTCCACTGCAAACATTTAAGTATGCAATTATAAGAGTTGTTTAGCGCACAAGAGCTTTATCTTCAGTAAAAAAACCCAAACATCAAGAACAAAGTTTTCTAGGAAAAAAAAACAAACAATCATAGGTTGAAATATTACTAACCAATGCTGCTCTTGCAAACACTATTGGTAGCCCAAATGCTGATACCACAATGCCTGTTGTAAGGAATATTGCTAGCTCCTTGCAGGCATTACTTGTAGCATCTGTGTCATCTACTAATCTTCTTGCTATGCAGTACGGGATAGGAGACAGGATGTAAAAAAACAGAACAAACAGTGGCCAGTACTGGCTGAAAAAGAAAGGAGAAGAAAAATTTAAGTTAACTCGATTGTCTTCCTGTCCTTCCTAAAATCAACACAAGGCATTTTCCCCATCCAGCATCCACATTCAGGAAAGACAGACACAAACCCAGAGAAGGCAAATCCTTTGCTTTGGAACAAGCTGACATTAATCCAGCAGACCATGTTTGTGAGCGGCTTCAGCTGACCTCAGTGGCAGCAGAGTTCACTAACAGGATATTCATAAAGCAAGATTTCACTATGCAAGCCTAAATCTAATGCCACCTCACAAGATGAGCTTAACTCCAAAGTTTATCCTGTCAGCTGTGCTTAAGAATTGCAGAGATACCTTTGCAGAGCCCTTACATCATTTTGGCCATAGGCTTTCAGTGCACACATGTGGGACAGAGCATCATTCTCAGACAATACTCAGCCACCATGGGGAACCAAGACATTTTTTTCCACTTTTTTAAAAATCTGAATGCAACCAGCAGACACCTACAAAAACTACACCATTGTTTTGGCAACACTCTTTTTTTTGCTTGCAGCTCACCAGACTAGATTTCTCAGGCACACAAACGCAGGTGCACATTGTTTCAATAAAACTTTATTGCATTGTTTGAAGGGCAACTGCACAGTGATCTCCTTCCCAAGGGTTTGTGTCACCAGTACTGGTTTTATATATGTCATCGTCATATATGTAGAGAACTGCAATTCACAACCAATAACATGTTATTTACCGAATGTTATTTAACATTCAGTAAGTCAATTTAAAAGATTTTCTGTAGAGTCAGCATTCACTTGCAAAAAGTCAAAGCCACAGGTCTAACTACCTGCACTTTTGGTCTGCTACTTTGTATCTCCTGAGAACTAAAGGATAGGAATGGACATACCCAAAGTACAGGTAGCAACTGCAATCACTCCAGATGCTACATTACCTGCCTGGGACACAGCAAAAGGTCCACCTGACAGTCACTGAGAGCCCAGCTACTACTATGCAGACAGAGAAAATGCAGATGCTTCCCTGGATAACACACACTTGCTGCCTACCTCAGGAGTTCCTGTTTGTTTGTCAGCCATAGACAATAGCTGGGACATGTCAGGGCAGTGTACCCTTTAATAACAGTCTACAGTCAGGCCTGGTAGCTTAACTTTTGTTGTCACCACTTCTAACGTGAATTAAACCCTGGATGGTCTTTTTTCCCACCCCAATCTTTCGAAGCAAAAAAAACAAAGGCAAACCCCAAGACCCCTCCTACACAGAGAGGACTTCTCAGTCCACAACTGCCTTGGCATGCAGGGGGGTTGGAGTAGATGATCTCCAGGGGTCCCTTCCAATCCTAACGATTCTGTGATTCTGAAATGACGAAATCCAAACCACTGTGGGGTTAGTGACACACAAAACAAGACACAACGAACAGGAAGCGAGTGCACGTTACTTGTATTGGGGAAGGGCACATCCGAGCATCAGGAACATCAGTCCGACCGCTCCGCCGAAGGACAGGCTGATCAAGGCTGCAACGAGAACACAAGCGGACCGCAGATGAAGGGCGCGACACGCCGTACAAAACCGAGCGCGACCCGCAAACCAAGCGGTTCAGCAGCCCCGCCCGCCCGGCACAGGGGGACACGGGAGGGAGGGGAGAGGCACGGGGGGCTCCCGCGGCGGCTCCGGCCCGCACCCGCCCCTGCCCGCGAGGGCCGCCCCGCGCCCCCCGCGCGCACCTTTGATCCCGGCCATGGCGCCGCCTGTCCCGCGAGCCGCGCGGCACCGGAGGAGCGCGCGCCGGGAACCGGAACTGCCGCACGGAACCGGAAGCTGCGTCCGGGAGGGTGGAGCGCCCTGCCCGCGCGACGCGCGCGCGCGAAAGTCGCGAGACGGCGGCCCCGCCCGGCGAAGCGCGGGAAGGGCCGCGCCCTCGTCGCCTATTGGCCCTACGGACTTCTGGGGGCGTGGCACAGAGAGAAGCTCCCTCCCTTCCTCTGTGTTCCCCCCGGGGCGGAGGGTGACGTAGTTTAGCGCTGTCATGGCGGCCGCCACCGCTCACCTCCTGCTGCTCCTGCTCTGCGCCGCCGCCGGCCCCGCGCTGGGCTGGGACCGCCCGGGTGAGACCCGCAGGGGTAAACGGGGCTCAGCGCGGCCCCTATCGCCTCTCCTGGCGCCGCCGCTGCTTCCTACGGGCCCGGCGCTGCGCAGCTTTGCCGGGCTGGCGGCGGCGGCACGGGGAAAGGAGGGGTTGTGCCTGGGCCCGCGCCAGGAAGGCGTTTGGGTTGGGGTTCCCTTTAAGGCGGGTTGTGCCGCAGCAGTCATCCCGCTGTGCGGTCGGAGCGGCTCGTATGCCTGAGAGGAGTAGCCCATAGCTGCCTCGGAAGGAAACGAGGGAAATGCCGTGTTTCCCTCTGCGCATCTGATGCTTCCTGGGGCTTTGTCTCCTGTAGCAAGGCACTGCTTCGGCCTCTGTATGGCCAGTCGTGTCCTGAGAGGAGGCCCTTGTGGCCAGGGGAAACGCACCTGGACAAGTGCTGACAAGCATTAGGAAGAATTTCTTCACGTGATTACACATTGGAATGAGCTGCCCAGGGAGGTGGTGGAGTCACTGTCCTTGGAGGTGTTTAAAGAAGAACTGCATGTGGCACTTAGTGCCATGGTTGAGTTGACGTGGTGTTCAGCCATGGGCTGGACTCGGTGATCTCAGAGGTCTTTTCCAACCCAGTTAATGCCATGGTTCTGACGTTTGTGCTCCCCGTTTCAGGGAAGGTTCTGCTGAGGGACATACAGGCGCTCACTCTCCACAGAGGGCAGTACACGACGTCCCGGCGGACACCTGCGGTCCCACAGCTGCAGTGCACGGGAGGCACTGCGGGGTGTTCCCGTGTCCCTGAGGTGGTTCAGTGTTACAACAAAGGTTGGGATGGCTATGATGTACAGGTAACTGTTTAAAACTTGTTAAACTATTAATGAAATCATCTTCTCCTACACTCGGTAATTTCTGAAGAAGAAAAGAACTAGGGTGTCAGTTCAGTTTGCTTTTTGTTAGATGGCCTTTGATGACTAAAACTTAACCTAAATACTTCTAGGCTTACATTTTCCAGAACTACTGTATGTATATGTTTGAAATATCCTTGAAGGTGCTGATGTAAAAATGCAGCACAGCAAACCTTCGTTGGTTTTAAATAAAATAGCTCTTGAGTTTATAAAATCAAGCTCTGGCAAACCTCAGAGGATGCTCTTGGAATTGATATTGCTGTGTGGATTTCCATTTTTTATTAGAGTGGAAAGGGATTATAAATAGTTGCTTCACTTCAGCTCTGCCTTTTAAACACTAAGTTTTGGGCTTGCATGACTTCCTCTTGCACCTTAGGATGTGAGTGCTTGTCAGGAAGTAGTCATGGCTCTTTTTTTTGTTAGCTGTTACCTAAGCTCCTGTCAGTAGATAACCAGGAATCAAGGCTGAAGGTGAGTGTTAAAACTGACACAGTACTGTAAAAGAACAGTCAATTTTGAATTGACAGTTGATACTGCTGTCCTGAATTATTAATTTAGAAATGACTACTTTTTTATTTCCTCTCCAAAATATGTGTCACTTGCAGTTAGAGATGGTAAGTTCAGGCACCTCAAGGAAACATGAGGCTGAAGAATCCACATATATTCAACTGCAGAGTCTGCAGTAGGATTTTAAGTGTTGGATTTGAATGCCTAATGATGTCTGTTCCAGTTTCTTTTGGTTTCTGCATGGACACAAACTGAATCAGGTGCACTGGATTTCAGGATCACATGTGTTTTTGTAGCTGCCATCAAGTTTACACAGGACAGGCGTTTATTAAGTAACTGTTGCACAGGGTATAGCATGTTTTTAGAAGTATTGCTTTATCTAAAGAAGGAATATGTGAAAAACCTGTCCAGTGAAGAAAAACAAAATCTTCCAGAGTCGTAACTCTTTAGTGTTCTGAAAGATCAGAATTTTTTTTCAAGTTGTAGGATTTAAAAATCATCTTTAGTTAACATCAAATTCCTACTCCTTTTCAAAATAAGTGCTCAGAAATTTCATACCCTGTGGCCCCTTAGATAGTTTGTTAGCAATCACAGCTTTATTTCAGAGCATATTTGGGGAAGCAGACAGGTATTTTAATCTCTGGAGCAGAAGATTTTACTTTGTATTGTGTTTATTTTTTCAGTGGCAGTGCAAAGCAGACTTGGACAAAGCCTACCGCTTTGGACACATAGAAGTGAGCTGTGAAGGCTACGATTACCCGGATGATCCTTACATCTTGAGAGGCTCCTGTAGTTTGCTGTTCAGGCTAGAGCTGACTGAGGAAGGTGAAAGGAAGGTGAAGACCTCTGGAAGCTTTGGTTCTAGCTATTATCAGTCAAGGCATGATTCTTCTGATTCTGGTTCTGGAGTGATTGTTGTAATAGTTCTTCTTGCTCTTGCTTTTGGAGTATACAAGTTCTTCCTCAGCAATCAGCAGCCTCAGCAGAGTCCCGGTGACAGTGATGGATTCGCGAGGCCGTTCTGGCAGAGTCAGCAGGCACCTCCTCCTCCTGGCTTTAAGTCCAGCTTCACAGGTAGGGCCCTGACCTGTTCTCTGTACTCAAAAGAGCAAGCAGGGTTATACTGTTTTATCTACAGTAGGAGCAGGTGGGACCAACTTAAAACCAGAGCATTGCCAGTTGACTCTGCTGATTTGGCTGCAGAGCCTGCAGCCAGCTTTGTGTTCTGTTCTTTGTTCAAAAGAGAAAATAAGAACTTGGTTTTCCACAGGCTTTCAGGGCAGCTATGCAGCAAGTTGCCCTTTGAACCTTTGAAAATCCATCTCCCCATGCTCTGCAAGTGTTCTTTTCATACCCTGTGAAATAGGAGGATTATGACAGGGAGAATAATTTTTATAGGTAATCTGGAAGAGAGAATGGTCTTATGCAGCCAGAAGCAAACCCATTCCAAAGAGGTGCTTTGAAACCTTACAGAAGGATCTTTCAGCACTGATTTCATTCACAAAGCAGTTAATGGAGTTGAGTATCATATACCAGTCCTCTGTTTAACAGGTGCTTCAGTGTAGTTCCAGCAGCTGAAAGATTTGGTTCCCAGAACAGAGAACAGTGCCTGTGAACTGGCATTAGAGGTGCCTCATCTCAATCTCACGTGGGGCCTTTCATCTGAAGTTGTAAGCAATAGATAAGCAATGACAAGGGTGCTGCTAGGAAAGGGTGCGCACTTTTTCTTCTCCCACAAAACTGATGGCTTCTTTCACTTAATAAATGGTCTTCCTTAGGCAGTCACAGTGTCTGAGGAACATAAACGTTGCTCATCTGGTGTCTGACCAACTGATTTAACCCTCTGCACGTGCAAGCTGCTCACAGCATTGAAACGTAAATTATATTCTCACAAGTTACGTAATCTTTTTTTTTTTTGTGAGATAGAGAAGGGGTTTTAGCAAGAAAATATATAGCAAGGATTAAGTTTACTTAGAGGTTTGTATTTTAGTAATGCGTATTAATGGTTTCTTCAAGTTTTGCTCAAGCAGCTTGGCCAACAGAGGGTGCAGTGTAACTCTTTGGGATACCCTTGTGCAGGGCGTGCCCAGCAGAAACATTCAGATGTACCTGCAGCAGAAAATTAAAGGGATTCTGCTTCCATATTACTGTTGGCTTTGCAAATTGGTTTCCATGTAGTTATTTCAAGCTGTCTTTCTATGCTGCATGTGCATCAGTGACCCTGTGTGGGCACTTGCCATTGGCATTACTGTGGTAGTCAGTAGAGCCCTGGTCATAAGACAGGGCTCTGTCATACTGGACACAGGCAAAACAGTGAAGAGTTACTTTTGTTTTTTTCTGTCCTGTTCCTTGTTGATTAATTGCACCAATTGTTACGCTATTTCATTGCATTTAATGTCTGCCTTATATTCTGGCAGCAGAGCAAAAGCACATCTCTGAGTGTGTATGTCCATGTGTTCCCAGGAAGGTATTAATCTTTGGAAATCCGGACAGTAATGGAAAGCAATGTTCGTATTGCTGTTAATATTTAGTTTGCCTCATTTTAAATCCTGTTAACATGCAGAGCATGTCCTGTGAAACTAGTTTAGCCAGCCTATCTTAATAAAATTCTGCTTTCTCTCTGTTTGTGGTTTGACATGATTCTTCATGTTTACTCTAGATATTTCAGCAAAAAATGACTCAGTTTTCTGAGTCAATGTTCAGTCATGGTGCTTTTGAACAAATGAGTTGGTTCATCTCTGATTAACATTGTTTTTACAGTAAAGGAAGTAGTTTGGTTTTTTTTTCGGTTCAAATCAGCATAACTGATATATCACTCCAGTGAGAGTTTATCTTTCTCCCCATGCATTCAAAATGAAATTCAACATCAAATCCAATGCAGACTGAAAACTGATTGTTTCATACCAGTTTGAAGACAAACCAGACCTTCTATAACTTTTACTTCCATTATCTCTAGTCCACATGTTCAGGTGGGCGTGTTTCAGGGAGACTCTAATGTTATCTTCCTTGCTTTTTATACTTCCTTATGTGTTAAGCTGTGGTTGAGCTTATTCTTGCATTTGTGTTTTTCTCTAGACCAGAAAATTATTGTACTTCAGGGTTGTCTCTTCTGTTTTTATTTCTAAATGGAAGACATTCAGTTCTGACTCAGAACCTCATGTTATGCAGGTCACATGTAAAAAATCTGTGACTCTCCTTCCCCCACAACCTACTTGATATGCTTGCAGTTTCATCAAGGTATTTGTCAAGCTTGGTGACTCATGCATAATAAAAACTTTGCAGTTAACATGGCTTTTGATAACAAATTCCAGACTAGGATTAGCAGGAACAATACAAGTAATGTTAGCCATTACACTGAGCCGCTGTGACTCAAATGGTGCAGCTGTGCTGAGTGAGATTAGAAGCTGTATGTCTTTGTGGTTTGCTCACTTTGTAGTCTTACCTATTTGATTTCTGCTCCTGTGTCTGCCTCTGGCCTGCTATGTGACCTTCAGATTATTCTTTCTTCCCTTCCTTTTCTATTTTTAGTCTTAATTGTCTGTTTATAGATCAGCAGGCAGGGACTTTCCATGTTTTGTGAATGTCAGGGCTGTGAGATGGGGTGGAAGTAGATTTTTAGCATAAAACTCCTCAAAGCAGTGTTCGTTTCTGTGTTTTTCCCTGCTTTCTGAAATGTGAGGCCTCTCAAGTTAAGCTTGATCAAGAATCTACTGGAATTAGGAAGAGCTTTTCCAATTTTCCATTATCTTTAACAGGAGAGAATCTTGTTGCAACAGCTGGTCTGAGGATTAGGCTACTAACTGATGTTTCCTATTTTTGTTTTGTTTAAGATGACAATAGCTTTGGAACTCATTCCCATCATGGAGCCCATTCAGGACCAGGATTTTGGACTGGATTAGGAGCAGGAGGCTTGCTAGGCTACTTGGCAGGCAGTCACAGGTAAAACATGCATCTATCAGATTTTAAGTATTTAAGCTTTCAGGGGGTATGCCATATGCTGTGTTGACATTGTTTCTAAGCTTTCAGGCCTGTGTCATTAAAGCTATAAAATCCTAACACTAGAAGAATTTTGAGGAGTTATGTCTAGCTGCAGCATCAGAGACATTATAAGTACATTTCTGGGGAAGAACTGGGAGGACTGAGGTACTTCATTCTGCTTTTAGTTACCCTGACCTGGCATAATGGCCTGCAAATTTAAACTGAGCTTTTAAACAATCTACCTGCAGACTGCCTTAAAACACAGGTAGTTTTATGCCTAATATGACTATCTGTAGATAGGTCTCTTCTATCAGTGTCATCTCTCCTGAAGTCAGTCTGTACGGCAGCTGCTCTTATGTGATACTCAGTGTGATTAGATTAAACGGCCTTTAATCTTCAGTCTTCCAATGGCCCATGTGTGGAAGTCCAAGAGGTATGGTTTTCCAGAGGACTTGTAGGTCTTATGTAAGTTGCATTTTGAAAAAACATAACATAAACAGCATTCAAAAGCAGTTTTGTGCTGGAGTAACCACTTTTAGGCATTTAAAATGCATTGGTTTCAGTGTAGGAGTTTGGTGCCATTTTAGGCTTTACTGGAGAAAATATGTGACTCCTCCAGGGAATCTTTAGAGCCCAAGCAGTTTTCTCTTTTTATCGAATAACTGCATGTGTATTGAGTCTATTCCTGTAGGAAAGTGGCAATGTAACAGGTTAAATATAACCATATACCTTTTTTTATATTGAAAGTTTGAAAGTAAAATAATATGGGCAGGAGCGTGTTAAAGCATCTTGATTGTAAAGTTGTTGAGATTCTTTTTGTTGTTATTTTTTGTAATAACAGAAGCCTTATATTAACTCTGCTAGCAATTCTCAAAAGGTAAAATGTGTTAAAGGTCTTATTGTCTTAGTATTTCTTAAGTTGAAATACATGATCCTTGTGCTTAAGCATTGTATTTACGTAGTATCTACAAACAGGTTAGTTAATTGATTTCCACACCCCCCCCATTTCCATAGCCACATCTTATTGTTCAGGATTAGAGACCTAACTGAATAAGTCCAGATGCATGAACAAGCTTCCTAACTTGGCTTCTTTTCTTTTAAAACAGTCTTTGGTCCACTATTATTTAATTTGATTTTTTTTTTTTTAATTATGTGCCTCAAAATGCTGGTACCAGAAAGTGCGAGACAGCTCTTTGTCCATTTCAGCAGCAGGAAATCCCATATCCATGGAAGCAAATAAATTAAATCAGTGAGTCAAAGATCGTGATATGTTAGAGTTAATGATACAACCTTTTCAAAATAGTTAACAGAAGGATGTTTTCTCTTGGCTGACATGGCTGGGATGTAGGTGTTGCCAAAATGCATTTAAGCTTCTGATGTCAAATTTCTTTTCTTGTCTGATAGAATCTAAGGTCAGAATTTCAGAGGGAAAACTTTCCTCATTTGCAATTGATAGAATTGCTTATTTTAAAGAATGAGGTTTAATTTCCTTTTGGAAGTGTACAGGTGATATTATAACAACACTGGATATCCTTGTTCTCAACATGTAAATATGTTCAATAGGGGGATTTCCAGATTTGAAACAACTGCCTGTTTACAGTTTTCCTCAGAGCTGCAGTTGTCTTGTTTGGAATGGTATCTTCTTAATTTTTCATAACGTCACTAATGAATCTTTTTTTCTACTCTGTCTCACAGCAGAGCACAGCCACGTTCCCCATATTACAGTATGTGGACAGATCCCACAGCTGCACCTCCTATGAATGAGCACTCAAGCAATTCCACACAAGGTAGCAGTTCAGGAACAAGAACTGCTTCTGGTAAGGCAAAACACCTTCGCATCTGCTGAAGCTCAAGAGACTTTGACCTATCAAAAATATGCAGACATTAGTTGAGATTCAGCAAACATTCTTTGTTTTATTTTATCAGTTGGTGTAGGTGGGCATGTAACCATGTCCTTTATTTCTGTTTCCTGTGGAAGTAGGGCAGCATTGTGGGGCATGAAACTCCCCACAGGTGTATAGTGGGCATGGTACCACCAGTATTGGGTTTGTCTTCGGTGGCAAGGTGCATTAGTTTAAGGGTTTCCCTTCTGGTGCACATTATACATGCCCTTCTCTAGCAAGCATGAACAAGCATGTTCTTTGTAGAATACAGGCTGTCTAATCTGCAAGAATAGTTTTCAGGCCAGTCAGCCCACAGTTGGTTGCTGTTCTACTTCATGTGAATATGTGTACCTTGTCTCCCTTGCCACCTTTAGCCCTTTTAGAACTAGAGAGTTCAGTGGAAAGGCTGTAGTGGAGCTGACATTTTTTTTCTTTACAGGCTTTGGGGGCACAAAACGAAGATGAAATCCTTGACGTTATTACATCGGAGTCATTGAACTGAATCTTCCTGTGCACTTGTATTTATTTTATTAATAGTAGGTTTCAGAAGGGAATGTGAAGTATGAAAGACTAGGCAAAAAGATCCTTTCTTTCTTTGTGGAAATGTGGACTCTCACTGCTGTGTAGGATATCACAAGTGTTGGAACATCCACTGTTTCAAATCAGCAGCTTCTCATACAGAATAAATCCATCCAAGTTAAGAAAAATTATGTTACAGTGACTATATATCTGACTGTACTTGAGGGATTATGGCAATGATAGCCTTACCAGATTTTTTAACAAGTAGCTTGCTATTCATGTTCTGGGCTTAATTTCATTTGATCTAGAATTTCTGACGTATTTCTTTCCACCTCTTTCTTGGTAGTCCAGCATCCACCTGATACCTAAGGAGTGCTGCTCTTTGAAGCTACTTTTGTTCGTCATTGTAGAATTCATGTGAACTTTACTGTAAGTGCAGTCAGCTACTCAGATAAGTGTTGCAGTTTTTCCTCAGTGGAAAAGAGTAAAACTGTATATAGAGAGACTAACATTAATATGTTTGTATCTGTGATGTGTGACTGTTGGAGCTAAAATTTGCAGATTTGAGGATGCTCCATGTTTTAGAGCTTATCCAAGGTGACTGTGCAAACCTAGGGTATTTTGCGTATAAATTAGGGGGGAAGTAAATAAGTAACCTGAAAAGAGACAAGATGGTTTTTCTCTGATTTGAACCTTTTTCTGGAAGACTGAGATAATTTAAATTCAGGTGATAGCAGACATTTTGCCAGCATTGAGGCCACAGGCTTTGCTTTTAATGGTGGATGTTGGCAGTGCTGTGAAAACTTCTGATGTGAATGATCTGTCCTGCTAGATGACCTGTCTATGACACAGTAAACCAAAGGTGCTTATTGCAAAGGGAAGGGAGCATTCTTAATCCAGAGCTGGTAGAATCTCTAGAGCACAGCAGGCCTTGATACTAAGCAAAAAAGAAAATTGCGTGTCTAACAGGATGGAAACTTTACCCGGTATACTTTTTCAAAACAGAGTGCTGTTAAAGAGTGGGAAGCAGAAAAGCTTTATTCTGTGATGATATTTTGGGGGCTCTGAGAAGTATCATACAGTTCTTGTGTGATTGACACTGCCCTGGGAGAAGCATTGCTGAAAAGAAAGCAGAGAAGTTTCTCAGGATTGTGGGAAGAGGGCAAGAGTGAAAAATGGGCTGCTTGACCCCCAGGTCTTCTCCAGAACTCATCCTAATAGAGTGTAGAAGTGTGTGCACAGATTTTGTATGCTGGCAGCAGCAGGAGGAGCATAGCTTTCAGCCTTGTGAAAGTAAAGTGTCTGGGAATTGATATAAACTATTACAGTGAAAGCAAAGCGCTGCTTTGCTGATACAAGTTGCACCTCCACAAGGAGATATAGCAGGTCTGGTTAGTTTCTAAGAAAGTGACTTCAGCATAACTAATCTGAAAGCAGCTATGAGTACAGAAAAAATTGGCTCATATGATTATGCCCAAGTTCAATGTCTGGCTTACTCAAACAAAAGAAAACCAAAGAAGAAAACAAAACCAAAATAAACAAGCAAACAAAACCATCAAAAAACATAGAAGTCTGTATGAAGTCAACAGAAGCTATGAAAAAGTGCTTGCACTGAAAATGTTATTTTGAAAATATCAAATGAAAAGTGATAACTTGAGGGTAAAATGGTGGTTTGCTTCTCAGAGCTGCCCGAGGGTTGGGGAAAAATAACTGCATTAACAGTTGCAATCTGCATTATGAACCTAAAACCAAAAAGGGAATACCTTACCGATGGCCTGTTAGAAAGTTCTACTTTTTATGAGAAGTAGTATATGGTAAATCTCTTACCTTTTTGACAAAGTGTAGCAAAATAATGTATTTTAAATGTGGAGTTTTTACTTATTTCTAAGTGTATTCAGGTTGAAACTTGTCACAGTCAATATTCTCTTTGCCAACTAATTACCTAACAATGAAACTGGATTTTTGCTAACTGGGTAGTTTGAAGCTGAAGTTAGCTCTCAAATTACAACGTGCTATGAAATGTGTTAGACTATGTTTTCGTATGTATTTATAGTTTCTGCATGAAATGTGATTTGATACATGAACCTGATGAATACTGAATACAGTTTCCAAATCTGTAGGATATTTTTGCCCTTCCCTTTGGTAATGAAATAAGTGAATAAGGAGTACTTTTTTCTTTTAAGCATTATCTCGAGGCTTGCAGGGATGGCGTGTTCTGTTTTTTCAGAGTTGTCTGTCTCCGTCCACTTCCCGGGTGGTGTAATATCATCCTTTACCCCCAGACCCAGAGTGGGTAAGCTGTATGTTGTTTCAATAAAATAAAACAATTCTGGGAACAGAGTTATTATACTGATTAGATTTTCAATAACAAAATACTGAACACTGTACAGAATTAAATGCTTTCTTGTAAATCATGGTTTTGGATCTGAGTCTGCAGAAAAGCTCTGCTATGTTGTCAAGTTCCTGGTTTTAGAAGGTGATGAACCGAACCTTTCAAAAGAATTTCTGATCATTGCTGTGCCTGGTTGTGTATGTAGCAGAACTCTACACTGGTGTAGCCTAAGCTGACATCAACTTCTTACACAGAGAATTTGTCACTGCTGGATAGAGCCCTGGTCTACAGATAAAGGCAGTTCAACTTCTTGGCTGTTGTAATGTAGGGTTAAACGGAGGCCTGCAAATTCTGCTACCAGTGTTTCCTTGGTCAAACGTAAGGGATGTTGCTGATGCTCCTGAATGAAAAGAACTTGTGGAAGGCAGCTTAGAGTTCATACTTGTGAGAGGCCTTGAGCTTCCTTCCTGAGCATCAGATCTGGAAGGTCCTAGTCTGTCTTCTGCTCCTAGGCAGGGTTTTGGCAGCATCTTCACAGCAACTTCATAGTTGCAAGGCATATGTAAATGTTTAAACTGTAAAATGCTGTTGCAGATAATTGCAGTTCTATTTGGCATCTGGGACTAGTACTTCTCATACTCTGACAAGGCTTATATCCTCACACAAAGCTAAAGCTCATTACAGGAACGAAACTCCTGGTTTTACAGCTGACTTCCCCTGAAGCATGTGATGAAAGAAAAAAAAGATGCACAGAGATCAGCTTTTCTCTATGCTGTTCTGTCTTGTGACTCAGCTCCCAGGTCAGATCTTGGCTAGTTCTGCAGACTGTTGCTACACACCTCGCTTTTTTCCTAGGTGCCGTGTGTGTGTTAGACTTACCAGCAAGGCGAGATGGTAGGTGGTTGTTTTTAAAAGTAAAATTCTTCCACGATCATCACTTTATACCACTAAGTTCCAAAAGGGGAATCAAGCCAAGTGGCACAATTTCCAGCACTAAGAGTTGTTGCAGAGAGAAATTGCTGGAATAAAGTAGCAAGTGATGCCTGCCTGCGTATGCAGCATTTGCACGTAAGACTGTTGTCCACTTAGCACCTATTACAAGTGCTGTATTTTTATCTCCTTAGTAAAGCAAATTAGTATTAGTTCTTAGTATTTTCAGAGTGCCCTATCAACCAGTGATTGCGGTACAGAAATAGCCCAGTTGCCTATGAACTAAAGTATATGAGCAAAACCACAAAAATGCTAAAAAATCTCACAGCAATGAAATCTGTACCAACGGACAATGCTGTTGTGTCTAATGAAACATAACGTCAAGTTCTCCTTCAATACCTATTGGGGCAGTTCAAGGTTAAGTGCTGCGTGGGAGAGGCTCTTTATCACTCAGCATATTTTGCTGAAACCTTCCTCTGCAGCCAATTCTCTTGCTTTCCTAATATTGTATGTAAACGCAGTAGTCTTCACTTTCTGACACCTCTGTTTCTATTCCGGCTGTGATTTACCAGTGCTAATGAAAATAATCAGCTGACTACCTTTATGTGGCCTGTGTATCTTATCTCCCACTGTCTTCCATCCTGTAGTTCCCTCTGTTCCTGGTGAGTGTCAATGTTTCTTTTACCAAGAAAGTGACGGGCATTTGCAAAAAGTGCACTGAGCTGGGAATGGATGGAGTAGATGGAGTGGAAGTCAAGCAAGCAAACTGTCAGGCTGTGCACTGACCTGTGTGGGCAGTATGTCTGTGGAAAAAGTTTTTTTTAGCCTTCTGTCAGAGAAGCATTTTTGTCCAGGGTACAGTATTGGCAACTGGCGATTGGAGCAGATTAAGGGCTGGTGAACTGGCAGCAAGGAGAAGACCTGAAAACATCCTCTGCATCCTACCTTAGGAATGACTTAAGAATATAACTAGGAAGCTGGCCTAGGATGTGCTAGCTCAGCCACTCCACAGGCATGCCATTGCAAATCCTGTAGGTAGATGTATGTTTAAAGATATCAGATCCTTCTGAAAATGCCACAATGCTAGTGCCGAGCACAAGGAAGGGGACTTGGCCCTGCGTCCATGTTTCTTTCCCGCTGCAGTTTGACTTGGAATGAACAGAGAAGGCCAGAAATGGAAAGAGCAGCAAGCAACCATGATGAAGGGTAGCAAGTTTACACCTGCACCAGCCAAAGCCAGGCTTGCAGGGGAAGCCTGTGTCCCGTTATGTCCTGCTTGTTCACTCTTCTGACATGACAGCAGGAAATACTAGGCAGCTCTAATAGCTGTTGTACTAGGATTATTTTACCAGGCTTAGAAGTTTATCCTGCATATCTAAAGAAATCCTACGAGCAATTAATTACTGGTAATTTATATTGACACCTTTTGCTCTGAGGACCATCTAAGACATACCAGAATTCGGATTTCAAACTAGCCACTGCCAGTTTTGGTGGAGACGAATCATGTCTACTTAAAGACCAAGTTCTCTGAGTTATGGTACAAGGAACTTTAGCTCATTTACTGCATTTGCCTTGACTTCCCTGGCACCAAGATTCTTGTGCAGTCTTTGCTCTGCAACTGTATATGGATGTCATTGTGCAGGATCCTCTGAGATTTAGCCTTGAGATCATAGCCCTGACATCACTGCCTGTTAGCCTTCCTCTCTATGTCTCCTGTGTCCTTGTAATTAGTGTGTGGGGATGTGTTTATTGAGGCAGCACTGGAATTACCATCAATCCAAAATACCTTTTGCTGGTGCTTCTGCAGAATAATGGTAGTTACTTATCTTCCAGTCAACTCCTGTGGTCATTTTCCTGTCATTTAGCAGCTGTAAATGCATCACATCTGCTTTAATGGACAGAAAACAATTATGGTTGGGGGAAAAAGAAAAGAAAAGAAGGTATAATGAATGTAGATAAAATGCTGAGTTGGAACAATTTTGCAGAGCTGACCTTCATGCTGGGATTACTTTATCAACATTCTTTCTCCAGGAGCTGGAGGAATACTTTATTGATGTGGATTTAAATAATTCCATCAGTGCTTTCTGCACCGCTTGGGCAAGAATGAGAGACTTAGAACTGTAACAGGTTTGGTGTTCAACAAAGTCTGGCCTGTTCAGGGGTCTTTGTAGTTTGATACACAGTTTGCAAAGAACTGGTAGCAGTAACAGGGGAAGTTAGATCAGTGCAGAAATTCATGTGGTTGCAGCATAGACAGAAAGACTGATCTGTGCTGTTTCTGAAACCAAGGTAAAAATCAAGCTCCAATCAGGCTGAAACAGCTCAGAAAGTTTTACTTGTCTTAGCTTTGACTCAAGAAGATCCTATTCAGCACAAATTGTCATCTGCTGCTGACACCTACTGTCAGAAGTGAAGTGCTCTTTCCCTTAGGAAGGCAAACCGTGTGTCCACATCCTGACTATTAGAAAACGAGCCAGGCCCCCTAGGTCATAGTGCAGTGTGATTCTGTCTTGGCAGGCTCGGGTGGTTAATTCTACATGCTCTCCTCCATAACAGGTGGAAGGATTTATTTCCTTTTTAACAAGGAGTTGGGGACTAGGCTGTAACTAAGTGAATGTGTATAGAGCTGAAGCAGTGCAAACATAAGTGATGGGAGGAAGACCACACTTGATTCAGGTAATCCAGTTTTACTCAAGATACTAATACATTCCCTTTAGCTCGGGTGATGTAGCTGCTAAAGAAAGGTTAGTGTTTGGGCAGATACTGACTTTTACATTGCAAAGCTGCTTTGGATATAGCTGAGAAACAGAACTCTGCAGCAGCTGAGAGAGAAACCCAGCACAAACCATCTCCAACGGGATTCAGCCATAGCAGAGTAGGGAGCAAAGAGTCCCAGACAGGAACCAGATAGTGTTTCTAGCCTGAACGTGCTACCGAGGCATCTGTTCCTCTCCAGTCTTTGTTTGCTTAAGCACCTGAGAGGCCTCATGGAGCAATGAGTGCTACCACTTAGCCTCAGCTTGGCAGACCTCCAAGCCAAGAGGCTGTGGGTGAGGGAAGATTGTATTTGATGACCTTTGGACAGCATGTCAGGAGAGGCGCGGGAAGACAGCTGAGCTATAGGAATGTTTTATGCCCTGGAATGACAAATAAAGCAAGGGTATGGAACAGTCAGCAAAAGAGAGCTTTAAAAAGAGATGTAGAATGCTCTGATGGAGCCAGTCGGCACATGGAAGGGTGTTCTTGTGCACTGTGGCTGCAGCACGCTGAAGGAGCTGCATCCCCTAGTCTGCATGTGGCTCGTGAAGACCCTGTATTAATTCAGCTGCTGGGTCAGGCTGTCCTGACTGTCCTCTTGCTCACCTCCCAAATGCACGGCCTAACCATACATCTTCACAATCTTGCCAGGTCAGAGATAAGGTGCACCTCAAAACAGAGGCCTGATTTATGAAACTTCCTACTGCAGCATGTTTTAAAGGCCAAAACTAAAGGTGAGAAGGAAGCGATTGGGTGATTTTACACAAAAACAACACGTCAGTGATTGAGCCATTACATGACTTCTGGCTCAAAAATCCCTAGGACTTGAATTCCAGAAGCAGAAGGTTTTAATGGCCTCCATCAGAGTTGAGGTACTGGGGTAGGCAGAGCTGTCCTCCAAGGCAGTATGATAGCTCTTACATCATTATCTACGGGGATAAGGATCTACTTATCCTAGGCACAGCTTCTAGCACAGAAGGGTAACGCTGACTGAAAAACTCTTTGTCCAGTACAGTTTACTGAAATTCTGCAAACAGCGCAGCTCTAATTGCACTAAAGCATTTGTTGGTGTAGGGGGAAGAGAGTTTTTTGTGAAGAGAATATTTTGTGTTCCTGTCCCAATATATGTTCTTGGCAAAAAATTTAAATGTAGACCAAACTTCTGAATAAAGTTATCATAGTTGTCATCAGCATTTCTGTTAGACTGATGATTTCAATAGGCAGGTGTTCTTACTGCATTCAGACATCTTTGCACTTTGCAGACAAGACTGCTAAAGAGGTGTTAATTTCTTAAAGTGCCAGACAAGGGCAGGTAACATGACTTGTCTTCCAGGAAAGTTCACGTATGAAACACGGATGTTAAGAATTTCATGTTTTCTTGTCTCAGTAAGTGGC